ATTTTACCACTTTGGTTCTTTAACATGTTCTTAAATGAAAGGGCATGGGCCTCAAGCATTTTAGCCTACATCGAAAATACGACAGGGATTCGATACCGCTACTTGCGGGTCTGCAATAGAGCATCATAACCACTGGACCACCTAGAGAGTAGTAAAAAAGATAGTTTTGGTAAAATCAGTATGCGCTGCATTTCGTCCAGCTCACGGTGTAGTCTAGCTGTAAGTAAGGAAGCAAGTTCAACTGTATGAGACATATTGCTGAAAATCACTTTGACAACATGGTAGAGCGATTCCGTTCTCTCCCGTTGCCTACTCCTTGCTTTTCAGTTGCACCTTTCACTTGCAGACGTGGTTAGCGGATACGAAAGGTGTGAACGACAATGCAACAACCCAAATCTGCATGTGGCAATTCTAGCAAATTTTGGGTAACATATGGGGCATAAAATGTGACATGCTATGCGCAGGATAATATTTGCGTCAATTTAAATAGATAATCAACAGTATTTCACTATGTATGTGTCTGTTTGCGGCGTGTGACATTGCTTGCACAAATCTATGGTTACTATGTATATTGCTCGTAATTTTACGTGATGACACGCCCACCCATCTTTTTCCATTCTGTGAATTTCTTGTCATGCGTCATGTCGCTAGTTGCAGCAATTGCTCTGTGTGCTCTTCTAGTCATGTCAACTTAAAGGGGCCCTTCAACACTTTTTCAGCATGGTCAGAATATGCTGCAGATCGGTAGTTAAGGCTCCCGACAACACGTGAGCCAAATAATATAGCGCAGCAAATTCACAATAAATTATCAAAATCAGCCAAAAATTGCTTTCTCTTCTTTCGAAAAAGCACGCAATAAGTCCACAAATCACTCGTAGTAATCCCATCTCTCAGCCATTGGCTGATTTGAACATGGCGCGCTCAGTCTTTACAGAGATCGCCACGGGAGGCCGTCCCTTGTCCACTCGTGCGCGCGTGATCGCACTGAGAAAGCCACGTATTCGAAGAAAAAAAAAAGAAATAAAGGTTCTCAAGGTCACGAGGCACATGTCACATTTTTTGTTTACCCCTCCCATCCCTACCTAGTTAGCTTCCAGTGCTTCCGTCGGAACGAGAGAAGAGAGAATGCGATTGCAGCGTGTGACAAATCAATGTAACTCCGCTCGTACTGGATGGATTCCTAAACATTTTCGGCGTTGAATTTGTGAGACAGTGCGCTTTTCAAACGAATTAGTTCTATGGTTACTCAAAAAAGTGCTTCCGAGCCCCTTTAAAGAAACGAACACATGAAGCGAATCAATATGTATAATTTGTCGTATATTTTTCAGCTTTATGTTAATTATTCTTGCGCTGTTTGCCACAGTGCTGAACAATAAAACTTGTGCTCTCTACAGCTTCCCACACTGCATTTCTCATTACGCTGCTTTAGGTTTATGACCACCATATTTTTATTTATGAGCCTAAATTACATGATGAGTATTTTAGTAGACCTTTCTAAGGGTGTGATTAGCCTGCACGTTTGCCTGTGTCGCGCTTTCATCGCTTGACAACACTTCGGAGGGCCTTAGACGTTAGGGCATAATAAAGATATGTATAAACATATTGTACACTCGCATACAAGCCGGGTTAGGTGTATAAACCGAATATTCTGTCACGCGCGTACGCGTGTGTGCGTGTGTGTTCAGATGTTAGCAGAACGTTCGAAAGTTAAATAGAAATGTTATTTTTGGCTTGAGTACATCTTGGCACACGTACGAAGAGTCACACTGTAATGTGTTCAAATGTGATCTATCAGATCATGAAACTGTGTCTGGCTATTTAAATTAAGATGAGCCTCTTCCTATTGGAAATTATCGCAATGGTCGACTCTGGCGAGATCTGTTCCGGTGGATACAAGCATTAGCACCGCCTGAGCATTAATCCCGTCGCCGAGCCAACTTAAAACACTCGCGGCCGAGATTCCTGCCCAAAATGTCGCAGAATGCTAAGCCTTGAGAAATACCGTGACAAGTTTTTTTCCGTTTGCAGACATTATTTATTTTAAAAGCACCCAGCATTTTTTTAAATCATGTTACCACGATGCGGTTAAAAAAATTAGTTGAGTAAGTGGCAGGGGGGGGGGGGAGAGGGGAATTGGACGACAAATTTCGGGGGGGGGGGTTGACCCCCCCCCCCCTTGGCTACGCCGCTGAAAGGTAACTTGACCAGAGTTATGAGAACGAAAATTATTATCCTGCAGCCAATTCCCCAATAGTTTGCCACACCCATCCCTTTTAAACCCCAAAGAAGTGTGATGGGAGTTAAAATAACCTGCTGATAAAATTGAATTTGAAGGAGAACGTTCTCTCGTGGCTCATACTTGCTTGCTTGCTTGTTCCTATATGCCTTGGCTCGTGCCTACCATGGGGGATTGGCCATTAAATTGGCGGTTATTGTAATGGGAAAAACAAATTTTTAAATTTTGATGAAGAAAAAAAAATCATTTTGTCATCTCGGGAATATATGAGTGGATAGTCATAAGGTGACTTAAGAATGAAGTATACGTACATAACTAATATCTGAAAAGAATAAATGGATGGTAATTAAAAAAAAAAACTACAATTTCATTAGAGTTTCATACCCACTCACACTCGGCACCACATCTTCGACGTCGTCGCCTTCTTGGGTTGCAATTGACCACAACGTATTAGAGAAAAGGCCGCAGTAGTTCAGTTGGTTCCTGACAGCGCCCAGTACTGCTTTGCACTTTCTTTAAAAATGGCGCTTTGCACACTTTCTTGCTGTTGATGGTGATGGTGTGGCTGAATGCAGAGTTCTGAGCTCAGTTAAGCAGTTATGTAACTTTTGGAGAAAAATATTAGTATCTTTGGAATAAAACTAACAGCTGTTCTCAAGAATGTACTCGTTACTTTGAAAACGTCAATAAATAAAATAACTAGACAAAATGTTGCGCAGTGTACATTAAAAACACACACACACATACACACACTTTTCTCTTGCCAAGACGTGTTCTCGAATTAACGTCATAACTGGCGGTACTCTGTAGGCTTCTTTCACACTTTTTTTAAACTCGTCCTAATTGTACGTAACACATAAAATATGGATACATACACCTACCACGCCAGTTGCGCCGCATCAGCATCAGCATCAGGCAGCATGGCCCTACTGTAGCCCTACTACAGTGTACTAGAAGGGGCAGTAGAGTGAACGAGGTGGCCGCGCCGCATTTCGACTGATTCTCCGGCGGGTGACAGTAGCGGCGGCGCTGTAGTTTTATAGTACTGAAGATCGCGGGAGCGTCTGCATTTTGAGCGCGCGCGCCCGAGCCTGCGAAAGCGTGTTTTGCTCGTTTTCAGCGCGTTTAATGCGTCTCTGGGCCTTTATCAGTGGACGCACCTGCTACGCGCCAGTTCGGTGTGCCATGCAGGCACACAGAAATTTCGTCGATACATTCACTGTTTCAAAGGCCTGCCGACCCAGAAAAAAATTGTCAATCGAAATTTGCACGGATCCGCCTAGATCCTTACTCAGTCAGCGCTTTGAGTTGCGTTACATCATAGGTGGCTACTGGCGAACTACAAAGAGAGGAGTATTATCAAAACTATGATTAAATCATGCGCTCGCTTTGTCAGCAGTCTCTACGATATGCAGAGCAGTGTTCCTCATATGAGCCTACATGCGCTCGATTGTTTCACGAGAAACCCGAGTGTAAGTAACGTTGTCACAACATTATTCAGCAACGACTCTTTTTTATGATGCCAGTTTTGTGGAAGATAATACTTATTGCTTTCCTATAGGCTTAATACATAATAAACTTATTAAAAACATCACTCAAAGATATTAAAAAATGCCAACTGTATATATGGCCCGTCTGTTAATCTGCGTAAGTTCGTTGTAACCAGTTCTCATTTTGTATGGACAGCTTATATTGGGTTGCTTTACAAATATTCTAATGGTGTAACACCATTGCAAGCGAGGAAGTTTATGACGATGTTTTGTATTATAAGCGTAGTTCTATCAATAAGCGTCAAAAGTGTATGCAGACAGTGGTGCATCTTGTCTTGAGAAATTTACCTTTCTTGTATATGTACACAGTAAACACACACACACACACACACACACACACACACACACACACACACACACACACACACATATATATATATATATATATATATATATATATATATATATATATATATATATATATATATATATATATATATATATATATATATATATATATATATACATTTGTGTTTGTTTTGAGACCTAATACTCGAAAAGGTAAAATCTACAGTGCGCATTTGCAGAGACACGCTATGTTTCACTTCACCAACTGTAAACTATTGGCGCAAGGCTACCCAGGATTTCTTTTTTTTTTTTTTTTTGAGGGGGTTGTGGTGTGCAGCAGAACGCCTAATTTTGCAATTGGTGGTCGCTGTGAATGCCTGTAACTATTTTAGCATACCCTGAAAAGTTAAATTACCAAAACATTTCATGGTGTAGGTGGTTCAGATTCCCTTCCTCTCCCCTCTCCTTGTGGCTTTCTGGTTCTGCGTGCGTGTGACACAGTATTTGTTTTTTAATCTGACAGCTTTCTGAGCACAGCTAGCTTCCAATAAATCAGCTCAGTTATTCTGAATATTGTTGACGCCTAACCAACAAAGAAAGAGTTAAGAGGGAAGAAATCAGTATAAGACCCACCTTTCTGAATTATTTTCGACATCTCACAAGGGCTTTTATGAAGCTCCAATTCCGTAGATGGGCTTGTCATACTTTAAAGGCTAAGGCATCCTGTGCAAGACATGAATAATGGGCAGGTGCGAAGAAATCTGCATCAAGAAATCGCGACGGAGGAGCCGAAGCACATATATAGCAGTTCCTGCACGCGGCGCGCGGCTCTTTTAGTACTATTCGACTGCGGCGCCGCCGTTGCCGGCAACGCGAAAGGGATCAGGCGGCGAGGCGCGGTCACGCCACTCAATACTTCTAGTACACTCTAGCCCTACATTGCGGTACGTTCTCGGGTGGCATGCGGCACGCTGTCGAACAACCTTCGCTGGTCGAACTCTGCTGACCCTGCTGGTGTGTCTCGTTGATGGTCTCGAAATTAACGGGACCCTCATGTGCTGCGTTGTTAACAGAAACTAGTTTTCGATCGGCTGCAGTACAGGTATTTACCGCCAATTTGTAGCCGAGCAGCGCTCCTTTACTCTCAAGTACCGTCGAGTGCGCTTCGCAGCACGTGCATGCGCTGCGCTGCAATAGTGATCATCGGCCCTTTTTTGAACGTATTTTTGCCCGTGGCAGCTTCTTCAAGAGTGCCGTGACAGGCCACTGTCGTTAAGCATGGTAGTGTTCACGTGTAGCACGTGCGGTGATTCGCTCAAGAAAAGCCAGGTGGAGAAGCACATTTACACGAAATGTCGCAGCTGCAAAATGCTTACCTGCATCGATTGCAACAAGGACTTTTGGTAGGTTTCATGCAATATAATTCTTTGAAGTACAACGTAGCATTTGCGTTCGAGTAGATTGATACAGTGACGTGCCGATTTGTTTGCAGGCATCGTAGTATAATGTTTTCTCTGCCGTGTGCTGTGCTAATCGGACACGTATCGCTCTTATCCCTGTCAGAGGGGCACTTCCGATCGCGATCAATTTCACTAGGGATAGAAAGTTACCGTGTTGCGAGTAATATTTGTGTTCAACAGTGTGTTTTATTGGGCTGGTTGGTGCTGCATGGCAGACTAAGAATAAAACAGCGTGAAGGCGCGACGGGTGCATGTGTCCTCTTCTCGTCCCGTTTTTCGCGCTGTTTTATTCTTCGTCTGTTTGTTCAATTGACTGATCACTAGCGACATGTCAATCGTTCTTGTTTACTTCATGCAACATGGGTGAACATAACTGATAGCCATTATGTATATTCTTCAACTAAAAGGTGTATTTTAGCTTCACATTTAGTATCAGTGTGTATTCTCAGTCACAGTGTTTGTGCTTGGCAATTTTAAGCATAGACAGGACGATGACACTGTTAAATTTCTGAGCTTATTTACCAGTCCTGCTTCCACCAGTATGAACAGTAAATATTACTACTTTATGAACCTGTCCAAAGCTGTTGCGTATTGGGAGGAGAGAGAGCAATGCAAAAATACCCATGTGCCTATATTGTAGATCTGGCGAAGGGTCCAAGGAACCCTCCATTTCGGCATCCATCAGGCTTTGGGACTTGTCACTTTTTATTCAATAGGAGGTACTCACTGGGCTGTTCCTGCCAGGCGATGCCAACGAGTGCGGCGCCATTGCCGTGGTCTGTCAGCAATCCAGCATAAGACAGCCTGATGTCTGGCAGCGCTACACCTACACAACACGAGCTCTTAACAAAATAGCACCATAACAAGTGCTGTCAAAAATTTTTTGCTCCCCTGTAAGGGAAACATAGTGAAAACACTGCGTAACTTTTCTGCTTCATTCCCCCGCTGAAGGAACTCATTTCATGGATGCCTCTCTAGTGAAATAATTCTGACTCCACCCTTGATGCTGAAGCGCATCAGTCAGTTATGGGTACAAAATTAATCAATGAGTTATGTTCAATTTGTTGCAGTTCCTTCTTTCTGTTCACATGCCCAGCTTATTCCTCCTCGGGCACTGCCATATTATTAACCTGCGATAGTGGTGATATTAAGATGAATATGGTGCAACTTTTTGTTGGAGTGTGCACCTTCTTATCTTTGTGAAAGGGAGTTGTCTAATGCTGAGGGAGTCAGATATGTCTATTACACTGTCTTTAAAGTATTCATATTTTGTGCTTGTGTTAATGTTGAAAGCCATCTTTGCAAGTGCTCTTGGTGATCTTAACACACTATGCACATGGCGTGAGCATTGTGGCTAAGCAACTGTAAAACATCTTCCTCACACATACAATAGCAACAACAAATCTAGTTTTAAGCATTGCAGAAGCCAGAAGAGCAGGGTTGGCGTGCTTTTATGCAGGGAGCTTTTGTGATGCTGTCGCTATGTTTTGGCACTGTCAAGCTCCACATGGCATTCGGGTTTGGTATAATTGAAAAATTGTAGCTAATTGTCTCATGCAAATTTTTTTTATAACATCTGACATCTTTTATTGCTAGCTGTTGCGTCCAGGCCTCACTTTTGGTGTGCAGGCCATGTTCATTCCGTATTGTTTCAATTACATAATTTGAGATCATGGGTTTTGTCTGCCTTATGAAAACAGGGGAGATGCCTACAAGGAACACATCAAATGTGTTACTGAAGCAGAACGGTATGGAGGGAAAAACTTCAAACCACAGCCATTCAAAGGAGAAGCCAAGCAGCAACAATGGATTGAGGTAAGCCTTTTTGTAAAGTTAATTCAATTCACCTTGCATTGGGCAACATAAAGTAATTATTATAAACCTTATGTATGCAATTAATCTTCAAGCCACATGCACAGCACCACCTGTGCATGTCCTTGGCAGTGATAACAGGACATGAGGAACATGTCCCGTTAGTGATAACAGGACATGAGGAACATAATGTGCACTCCACAGTGTATGCTTGTGCCTAAGCTGAGCTCATCGAAATGAAAGTGGTTGGCAGGAGCAGTGTTCATAGCAAAGAACCCCTGTCCTGTGATTTCAAAGTGCCCTGTGACACAAATTAAGCATATAGTTTTCATAGCTTCTTCTCGAGCTCTGGAATGCACCGATATCATTGCGCAATTGGCTTTGCCAAAAACAAAACTTCTATTTCGCTTGAACAGAGAAACCGAATTGGTTTCGGACACAAAGTGACACACAAGAGCTTTTTTGTGATCAAAAAGGGATGCTTCATTATGTTGGAGGGGCCACATTACCTGGGCATTCTGATTTGCTTGACATGAAAAGTTGCATGTAATATCAGCAGTGGAACAGCTGTGCGATTGTGTGCCAAACTTATTTACTTGTGCCATCACCAGCTGAACAACCCCTGTTGTGCCTAACTCACTTATCAGTGCCGTACTGCACCGCTGCACCTGAACTCGGCTGCAATGTGCCCGTGGCTGAAAACGTGGCTGATATATTGCATTTTCAGTTTCATTTAAATAGTTATAGTTGCAGTTTCCTAAAGGCTGTGATATCTGGAGCAGCAGCTGTGAACTTAATTTGTGAAGTCACAATTTCGGGCGTGCACGCTATCTCGACAAGCATCAGCGCGAATATCTTAACCCTTCTTCATGCTGCACTCTGAACACAAAGAGGCTGTGCTAAAAGTGCATGTCTCCAGTGATTTGTAGAGCTACATGATATCGGATCTAAAATAACTGGGGGACCCTTCAGCTACATGTTTAGGAGTGGAACGCAACAGTGAGATCCTGTCCTTAGTGCGTACTTCAACCACTTAGTGGGTACTTCAACCACTTAGTGCATATTTTGTAGTGTGTGATGTTACTCTAGAAATTAAAATTGTGGATTGCTACATTGTCATTAAGAATAGCTGACTGGATTCCCAGAGAAGGCAAGTGGGTTAGGGGGAGACAGAAAGTTAGATGGGCAGACTAGATTAAGAAGTTTGCGGGTATGAAGTGGCAGCAGCAAGCATAGGACCGAGTTGACTGGTGGAACATGGGAGAGGCCTTTGTACTGCAGTGGACGTAGTCAGGCTGATGATGATAACATTATAATCGATAAAGTTGAAAGTGGCTTGTGCTGACAAGAAAAACCTTGGCTCTCTTGGCAATTATGTGGTGAAATGTTTTCTTACTTGCTATGCGCCCACTATGTGGTCTTAAGGGAATACGCGCAGTAAGGTGTGTGCCTTTTGTAATGGGTAGCCGGCTTTAAACCACGAAGTCGTTATGATGATCGCATGTTCTGACTCCTGATGGCTATGTGCACTTGTACCACGCAATATTGCAGCGATAATACATTTTGTATTGTGAAGTACAGGACTGCATGGGTTCGGGCCTACACAAAAATCTGACCGCGGGCCCGGGCCCGTTCCTAAAGGCTGGGTTTGAGGTGGCAGGCTTGGGTCGAGCCAGGCTTTGATATTGCTTGGTTCTTGAGATTGTTCCACCTACGTTGTACATAGGTATATGTTCCACATATTGTATCTCGACAAAAAAAATTATATTTTTTTAATGTGGGACAAGCTATTTGAAGAATTTTTGTGTGGGACAAGTACTGGACCTCTCTAGCTCCTTGCATATGGGACAACTTGATAGCCTAGGCTCTTATATAGTTAGCATTTGACTATTCCTTGCATCATGAAGTGCAGTCATCATTATTTTAAATGCGGGATGTTATTGTGTAATTGCATTAATAAATGAAGCAAAAAAGTGCAAATTTAAGCCTCGTTATCCTTGTTAGACAAAATAATAATGAGAACTAACGGACTGTGATGCCAAGAAAGTTATAGGGGATGTTATCAGAAATAATTGTAATAGCAAGAAGCAAAAGTGGACAGAAATGATAACTCGCCACCAGCATGATCCGAACCTGCGACTTTGAGAGTAACGCATGCGCTGCCCTACTACTGAGCTACGGTGGCGGTCATCCCGCCATGCACTTTATAGGGTATAGTATATGTGCATTTAAACATGGGAGCGTCAGTCAGCGCTGCCTGTTGCTATTGCGGCAAGTGTGGAACGCTCATTTTGCCTGTTGGCGTCGCATAGCATGTAATGCCAGGTTCGATCGCAGGTTCGGATCCTGCCAATGGCAAGTTATCGCTTCATCCACTTTTCTTTCTTCACATTACAATTACGTCTAATAACACCCCCAATACTCCTCTTGGCATCATTGTCTGTTAGTTCGCAATAGTATCACACTAATAAATTCATTATAATTAATTTATGTATTAAATTTTTCATCTATAACTTCTCACCAAAAGAGCTAACGAGAGCTTGAAACCAGGGCAACATTCTTGAAAGTTACCGCAGTCCACTAAAATGAAAGGTCTATGTGGAGTCTCTTTACATGCAATCAGAATGATATGTTCTTTTTTTGTGGCTCTCACAGCTCCTAGTGGTCATGTGACATGACTTGGACATGCACAGCCTGCTTTGTGTGCCCAGATTGTTAACATCGAATCAGGGGTATAAACAATTTTTTTGCGGGTGGTTCATCTGAAGTGGGGGCGAGGCAGACAGGTGTGGTAGAGTGCCATTTTGGTCTCTATAGACGGTTTCACAAGAGCCTGCCAGTCTCTGGCAACATTGTGCATTCACCAGAAAGCCACCCCAGGAAACATCCGGTTTAGCTTGTTCTTGCGTGGTTTTAGCCTTTGTTGTTGGTCGCGGCTGCTTGTGTTCCGATATTTTATGCGGATAAAATTATTCTGATGAAGCACTCGCAACTTCACACTCATTTCTCCCCACAACGACCAGAGACTGGAACAATCTGCCTGCATCACTCACAAGCATAACTAACACCAATAATTTCAAAATCGCACTTCGAAGTTTCATTTCGAGTTAACATCGTTCAGTGTTTGTTTCATACCTTTAATTTTTTTCTTTTTTTATATGTTTCCCTTTTGTTGCTATGCTTCTCGTATTCTAGTTTTGCGAGTGGCTACTTTTTGTACATTTTTTTTTTTTTTTTTTTTTTTAATATCTCTTTTGGCAGTGCATCCAATGATAAAATCTTGTAATTCTTCCAGGACAGTCCAGTGTTTTGATTCCTGTGTTATTCATTTTGGTTCATTGGCCTTTGTTCTTGTAACTGATATTTGTTTAAAGTGTCATCGTGATAATTCATTTCTGTATTTTTAAAACTATAACCAAGTTATTATTACGTGTTAACTTTCTTTGCCCCTCCCCTCTTCAATGTACGTTTGTACCCTGAGGGTATTTGAAATAATAATAAAACTCAGGCACAGCTTTGTCAAGCCAGGATGCAGTCTGCAAGCCTGAACTAATTTTATATGCTAGTCAAAAGGTTCTGCTTTGATCACGGGAGAAAACTGGATTCCTGTTAAGAGCGCGTAGGCTTGTTCTTCCCACTTCATTAAAGGCAATGTAAAGCTCAGCGCACACTAATGGCACAGAGACGATACTCAGACTTACTCAGGTGCCGGTTACTGGGAACACATCAGTCGCAATCGTCTTGCACTCATGGCAGATACATGTACTGACGCGTGAAATGGGTAACAAAACTTGAAAGCGAACACTGAAAATGTGTCGCAAAGGTGTTTCTCGTATAGTTTGAACGATAATAATAATGCGTACTGTTTGAAACAGCATGGGGCACTAAGTAGCCATGCTCTACATGAATCGCCGCAATGTGTACGTCATGGTGTCCACGTTTCGTTGCCGTTGCATTTTTTTTTTTCTGAAAGCGACGCCGGCGACTCATCTGTGCAAGCAAATGACTCATCGCCTGTCTTTCGGACGCTAATTAATATCGCTGCATTCTAGCTCATTTATCTTTCTGTGTGAACATGGCTTAGGTGGGTTCAACTTGAAAGTTTGATTCGTGAATAGCTTACTCGTGAGTAAACCATAATAGTTCGCGTGACCAAGCCTCAGTTGATGTCATCACATAACCAGTACATTTTATATTTTCTCGGTCACACGAAGACTTCGGATAGCGAACAATCCCGAACGCTAATGATCTCTATAAAGAGTGCCCGGCGTGACACAGGCGCAAAAATAAGCGTTTCATCTTGCGGTTGTGCGCTTAGACGAAAACACAAATATGTTCGGGGTTTGACAGGTGGAAGGTTTTCAGTTCTAGCTGAAAAGCTGAATTGAACAACTTCACTATGGATTGGGCAACTCTTCTTCTGCATGTCGATGTGGGTTTGCTTTGAAGACGCGGAAAGGGAAAACACAGATGTGCGCTGTCAATTCTCTGTTCGCGTCTTCAAAGCGCTTTCACATCGACATGCAAAACCAACTGGCCCAATTAAGTTCGCTGACAAACTTCTCCTACAGGCACGACCACTCCCAGAGGTAACACGGTGAAGGGGGCTGTGCTCATCGGAATTCCACGGCAAATATTTTGTGGGGATCCCGTCAGCCACGCGAGCCGTGTTACCTGCAGCAGTGGCCACACCTGCAACTGCCGTGCACTACATCGAGCCCCTTCATGTGGCCACTAGACGTGGCACCAAATACATTCTAAGGAATGTGCCAGAAATAATAGAGCAGCAAACTCAAACACACCATGAAAACACCGCCAGGACCATTGAAGAAGCATTACCAGAAGTGGCGTACTGGAAGTCTGCTGGGGTAGGCCATTTGGCGCGAGCCAGTTTGTTTACAAACACCGAAGCCGTCTATAGGCCTTGGCAAAAAAAAATTTCAGATGGGAAGGGGGACACGGGCCCAAAGTGCCACCCCCTGGCTACGCCATTGCTTCTGAGC